AAATAATAAATAAATAAATAAAAAGAAAAAGCTGAATCTGGGCGATGACGGCACGTGTCTTTAATCAGATAAATAAATTTCTTTTTTTTTTTTTTTTTTTTTGGTTTTTTGAGACAGGGTTTCTCTGTATTGTTTTGGAGGTTGTCCTGGAACTAGCTCTGTAGACCAGGCTGGCCTCGAACTCACAGAGATCCGCCTGCCTCTGCCTCCCCAGTGCTGGGATTAAAGGCGTGCGCCACCAACGCCCGGCCAGATAAATAAATTTAAAAAAGTAAGTTGAGCAAAAATAGGCTCAGCAAGCCAGGGGGGAGCAAGCCAGGAAGCAACACCCCTCCAAGGCCAGTGCGTCAGCTCCTGCCTCCAGGTTCCTACCATGTTTGAGTTCCTGTCCTCACTGCTCTTGATGATGAACTGTTATATGGAGGTATAAACCTTCTCCACCAAGTTGCTTTTGGTATGTTGTCACAGCAATAGCAACACTAGCTAAAACAGTATCCATGACAGATTTCCACAAGAGCAGTTGCTGAATCATTATAGGGTAGGTGAGCTGAGGCGCCCTCGTGTAGGATCTCCACCCTCTGCCATTCATGGCACCCTGCACTTCTCTTCTATACTGTATCAGGGCTGCTGTGCTGGCTAGCTTTATGTCAACTTAAAATGGCCATAATTTGGAAAGTGCCCCAACCAGATTGGCCTGTGGACAACTGGTGGGATATTTTCTTGATTGATGTTAGAGGATCCAGTCCACAGTGTGTGGTTCTGCCATGGGCAGGTGATCCTGAGTGCTATAAGAAAGTAGGCTGAAAAAAAAAAAAAAGAAGAAAGAAGGAAGGAAAGAAGGCAGGCCGAACAAGCCACAAGGAACCGGTCAATAAACAGCGCTCTGAAGTGTGATCCTAACTCTGGGACCCAGCTGCTCCAAGACAGGAAATTTCCACTTACAGCGCTCCTCTCCCATGACCTCTGTCTGCATCAGTCCCTACCTCAGGTTCCTCCCTTGAGTGCCTGCCCTGACTTCCGTCAGTGATGGACTGTGAGCCCAGAGTTATAAGATGAAATAAACCTTTTCCTCCTCAAATCGCATTTGGTCATGATGTTTTATCACAGCAATAGAAACCCCAAGACAGATGCTCTGTGGCCAACAGAATATGATGAAACTGGTGACGGTGACTTCTGAAGTTAGATTATAAAAAATACTGTAGTTTCTACCTCGGATTCCTGCCACTCTTTGGGGTCATGCCATGAGAATGCCCAAGGAATCCTGTGGAGACTGAGCTGACAAGGAATATGGCCTCCAGTTAGTGAGGTTGAGCCATCTTAAAAGGATACAACACAGGTAGGCCTGTAGGCCATTGTGGTCCTGGATGGCCATATAGACAGCATCCTCATGACACACCTTCAGCCAGAATCACTAATCAAGCAGCCCCTGGGTTCATGGATTCACCAAACCTTCTCCAGATAATAAATGCTCCGTGAAAGCTGCCATGTTTGGGAATATCTTCATTTGCAGCAATAGACATTTTGAGTTTTCTTGGACGGCTGAGGTAAGAATGCTAAACATTCCGAATGCTGCATGTTTAACAATAAACTGTAATGTATATTTATCCTCCCCTCTTAGGTGACTCCAAAATTAAAATAGTACTTATATCATCAGGTTGACTTTTCATTCTGGGTGTCTTCCTTCCTCTCTACCTCTCAAATGCCTAAAATTCCAGAGTTGGAATCCGGATGCTGCCCTGTGATTAGCAGAGCTCTTAACCCTCCTCAGAGAAGTTTCTTTTCAGCAAACAGGGGGTTAATACAGAGGCCCAGCACTGGTCACAGCACAGAGGGTAGGTGACTGTGGAGTGTGCAGCCTTACATGAGGCATCTGTATCACACATTTTCCCCTCAAGGCTCATCGTGGGACATCAAGGACCATCACGGAAGACAGGGCAGGAAGATTGCAAGAGCCAGGGGCCTGGGAGGACTCCTGAGGGATAATGAATGTCTTCCGGATATGACGGGGCTGTGGCACTCATGAACTCACAATGGTTGTGGTTGCCTGCATGAGATCAAGCTAGTCAGCACTCCATGGGGGACAAGGGAGGGACTCTACTGGCTCCACTCCTAGCTGAGGAACAGTTGGCCGTTCATGGCTGCTGGGAGAGGGACAGCTGGTGTTCTAGGGAGGGGCGGTGGTCTAGCCTCTGGTAGGTTGCTCCTGTTCAGAGGACAGCCCTACACCCATGGGCACTCAGGCCATAGACTTATTAGGTATCTTATTTTTCTATTGCTGTGATAAAGCACTGTCACCAAGGCATCTTATGAAGGGATGAGTTTATTTTAGAGGCTTGCATTTCCAAAGTGTTGGGGTCTGCCTGATAATCAGGTGGAGGCTGAGAGCTCTCATCTGGAACAAAACGAACACATCAGAAACACCACAGGGTTTTGAAACCTCAAAGCTCACGCCAGTCTCCTCTGCTCCCTTCTTCCATTTCCTTCATCTTGCTTCCTCCTCCTCCTTTTTATTTTTATTTTTTTGAGACGGGGTTTCTCTGTATAGCTTTGGAGCCTGTCCTGGCACTTACTCTGCAGACCAGGCTGGCCTTGAACTCATGGAGATCCCTCTGCCTCTGCTTTCCCAATGCTGGGATTAAAGGTGTGTGCCACCACCGCCTGGCTTTTTCCTGCTTCTTTTTCCAGTCCCCCTCATCTCACTTTCTTATCTCCTCTCACTATCAAAAGCAAGCAAGGTCCCCTCTGCTAGAATGAGCCTGAGAGAAGAATGAAACTTATCTTACCACCATGGTTTCCATCCATGTGCTGGACTAGCTTATGCCCTCCAAATGATAAATGATGGGATCCCTGACAGCAGCCCGTTCCAGCCTCAAGGCAAGAGCAGGTGCCTGGAGAGGTAGACCTTAGGAAGACCATGGTCCTTCAGCATGGCTCCTGTTTATAGTTATCTCTTTCTCCCATTCATATCAGGACTCAAGAAGGTTTTGTTGTTGCTGCTGCTGCTCAAATTTTTTAAAAACAGGGTCTTGTGCTGTAACCCTGACTGGCCTGGAATGCTGCTGCATAGACCAGGTTGACCTGTGTCTGCCTCTGCTTCCCAAGAGTGCTAGGACTGAAGGCATGGTACCCCACCATGCTGGTCCATTGGTTAGGAGTCCTAATAAGATGTATAATTGCAAAAACACAGTTGCTGCAAAATGTTCACACAAAGTACAGAGAAAGAGTCACTGAAAGATTTAGGTATTACATTGGCAGCACTCTAGCCAGTCCAGAGTTCCATGAGAACCAGTCTGCACACAGGTGCAAAGGATCCCTTTAAAAGACAGACCCACTTACGCTCTCGTCTTCTTCTCTCTCATCATCTCTTCTCTCTCATCTTCCCTTTCTGTCTGTCTGTCTGTCTGTCTGTCTGTCTCTGTCTCTCTCTGTCTCTCTCTCTCTCTCATCCACTCTCATCATCTCTTCTCTCTCATCTTCCCCTCTCTCTCTGTCATGTCTGCTTCCCCTTTCAGTCTTGCTATAATAAACTATGATTAATATGCTCTCCATGGCTTGTGCTCTGTCCATCATGCCGGCCCTGGTTCCCTAATTAACAACATGTGGTGCCAAGACTCGGCAGGTTTTCCCGCATCTCCTCCTGCTTTGACTGAGATGCCGACAACCTGTAAACTTCAGCTCAGTCGCTTTTCCAACTAAGAATCTCTGTATTCTTCCATCCACTATCGCCATGTCTGGTAAGCCTGCCCCTCCCTTGCTTCCATGACTTAGGATTTATCGAGATTGTGGTCTCTCTCGTTTTCGGACAGGTCAAAAATCCCAGTTCTGGATGACCATATGTCTTTTCGGCTCCAGGATCCCGGCACCTGATCCGTGTTTGATGAATCACGGAAATCAGTCGTTGCCTTTTGCAACGATCCTCCTTAGTCTCTGGGACGCTAGAGATTATAGGTTTTGGATCTCTGCCTCTGTCATGGAAGCTGGGCCCCCCAAATCAAGCCATGTGCTTGCTTTTTGGCACTGACATTCTGCCAGTGATCCATGGTTAGAAATGCCGCCTCTACTCTTCCTCACTTGTCTTACTTTTCTGTTCCCTGCACACTAAAACTCCCACTGGCCACAGCGGCTTCCCGCCACTTCCCATCTTGGCTAAACCTGTCTGAGGGTGGAAACTGCCTTCCACCCGGGAGTGTCCAGTTTTGTCTCATGTTCATTCACCTCTTTCCTATCCAGCTATCCTTATTCTGTGTTTCTTCTCCCAGCCTCTTCCAATTGTTTTAAAATTTGAGACAAGGTCTTACTAAATTGTCCAACCTGGTGTTGAACTCACTTCATAGGTCAGAAGGACACTGGCCTTGCTACCCTCCTGCCTCAGCCTCCTTTGGAAGCTTGCGTGGCATCTTCTGGTCCAATGAAAGCTAGTCGTCATGGAGGGGTCAGATCCATCTCAGGTCCTCTGGGCCCTGTGTCTGAAGTGCCTGCTGTCTTTAGCAGTAGGGACTTAGCTTCCACCCCTGAGAATCAACACAGTGCAACAGCAATGACCTAAAATGTTTGGGCAGTCTCCTGGGTAAGCCTAAAGAACTCAAAAGAGGGCTTCTCATGCTTGGTGTTAGCGTGTCGCCCCTGGGGAGAGCGTAGTCAGGAGTCTGTGCACTGTTTAGCCTGTCTGTTTTGTTCTTAATATTCTAGTTTATTGTTTTATGATTATTATCATTATTTATTTATTTGCTTATTGGAACAGGGTCTCTCTATGTAGTCCTGGCTGTCCTGGACTTCTATGTGTACCAAGCTGGCCTCAACCTCACAGACATATCTGCCTGCCTCTGTCTCTGCCTTCTAAAGATTGGGATTAAAAGAGTTTGCCGTTGTGGAACCAGGATGTATCCCTAGAGCACGAACAAACTTTGGGAGCCCATTTCCCATGGTGGGATACTCTCTTAGCCTAGATACACAGGGGAGGGCCTAGGCCCTGCCCCAAATGACTTGACAGATTTTTTTTTTAGTCAGAATTGTCCATATTGACTTTATTTTAGTTTTTGTACACAAAGAAAAATCATGTTCATATCCATCATGAACAAAAACTTAAAAAGGCAGAACTAGAAGATACGTGTCCTTCACCAAGCATAGCTGTGTTAAAGGTTCCAACATTTCAATTTTTAAAATAAATATTTTCACTTTCCAATGTTTACTTTTCATGTCTTCAGAGTGTCACAGGAAACTGCAGCCTATGGTGAGTTACAATTGTGTTTAGAGCCCCAGTTCACTGTGTTGGGAAACTTGCCATTCCATATCCAGCTTGGTTTGGAGGAGGTATTACAGGAGGAGGAGCTTGTCCTTGAGGAGGCTGAGCACCAAATCCACCCATCCAAGCAGCAGAAGGTGATTGATCTACTCCAAATCCTTGCTGGTTCCATGGCTGCCCATATACTCCATGGGGAGGCACTTGCCACCCATTTGCCATATACTGCCCATACTGTTGTGGGTTTCCATATACTTGGCTCCACTGGCCCCACTGAATGTAGTCAACCTGTTGGAAGTTTTTAGTCATATCAGGAGATTCTTTACCCCAATAGCATTTAACCACATGTCCTTCGATTGTAGTACCATTCACAGAAACAATGGCATGGGCTGCACTTTCATGAGTTGAAAATCTGACAAAAGAATAGCCCTTTTCTGGAAAAACTCTAATTTCCATAATTTGTCCAAATGGTGAAAATGTTTGTCTCATAAGCTGATCTGTTAGCCCAGAAGCAATTCCTCCACAGTACACAGTGCAATTTTTTGGACTTGACTGGTTTACTACATCTTCAAATCTCAACTGCTTAGTGTTAGTTTTTTGTGTACTTTTAGGGGCAGGCGGTTTACGTGTGGCCCAATTGGTTCTGATTTGTCGATCTCCCAACTCCCAACCACTGAACCCCCATATGCACAATTGCATTTTCTGCATCCAGTTTGTTATAAAAAGATACAAAACCATAGCCTTTGGACTTTCCAGTTGCCATGTCTTTAACTACCCGGGCATCTGATATTTTACCAAAGGGGGCAAAAGCTGATTTGATGTCTTCTGTTGTAATTTCTGGACTCAAATCCCCAACAAACACATGGAAGTGATTGGAAGTATCTTTTTCCTGGCTACTTGGTGTTGTTGCCCAGTTTACTTTGACCTCCTTTCCCAAAAATTTTCTCCCATTCATAGCAGCTAATGCAGCAGCTGCATCTCTGTGTTCATAAAATTCCACAAAGCAATATGGGTCATTGCTTGTATGCTCTGTTATCATTTTACAGCTTTTACAGGGTCCGATCTGACTGAATAACTGGAGTATAAGAACTTCTGTCACATCTCTGGAGAGGTTACCTACATATCTAGGCTATAAACACCATATTGTTTTCTGAAGATAGAACAATATGTCTTAGCTTGTGTGTGTAGAGTCCGGGGCTGTCCGTCGTCTTCCATCATGGTGGGTGCGACGGAGCGATCCCGGGACAAGGGGAGGGCATGGCTGGGGAGGGGAGGGGGTGGGAAGGAAGGGGAGGGGGGCTCCGGGCTCCGGCTGGGGACAGAGGAGAAGGTACTGAACCCCCCAGCCGGCTCCGGACACTGCGCTCCAAACAGGAGGAGCAGGAGGAGGAGCGACTTGACAGATTTTGATGATCCCTCATGGAAGATCTCAACCTCCCTGGGGAGTGGATGGGGGATGGGATGGGGGGGACGGTGGAGGGCTTGGGAGAATGGGAGGGAGAGGAAACTGGGATTGATATGTAAAATAAGATTGTTTCTGATTTAAATACAATTTATGTATTAAAAAAAAGTGCCACCCGGGCAGTGGTGGCGCACGCCTTTAATCTCAGCACTCGGGAGGCAGAGGCAGGCAGATCTCTGTGAGTTTGAGGCTAGGCTGGACCGACAGCCTCCAAAATAATACAGAGAAACCCTGTCTTGTAAAACCAGGAAAAAAAAAGTGCCGTTGCCTGGCAGTGGTAGTGCACACCTTTAGACCCAGCACTTGGGAGGCAGAGGCAAGAGGATCTCTGTGAGTTCAAGACCAGCCTGGTCTACAAAAGCTAGTTCTAGGGCAGGCTCCAAAACTACACAGAGAAACCCTGTCTCAAAAAACCAAAAGGGGGAAAAAAAAAGGAATGTGCCATTAAGCCCTGCTTTAAAAAATTTTTTTAAAATATATGTGCATGTCTGTAAATGGGGTCATACGTTTATATATATTCATGGAGACACATGTACTATAGCAGGCATATGGAGGTCATAAGACAACCTGTGTAATTTGTCTCTGTCCTTCTATTATATTCCAGGAATTGAACTTAGGTAGTCAATAGGCTTGGTGACCTTTACACCCGTTAACGATTGAATAGCTTCATTTTAGGGCTAAGTATTGTGACAATGTTAACTATCAAGGTAACTGTCAACTTGACAGAATCTAGAATCCCCTCGGAAATGGGACAAGGGGAATATCTGTGGTGGGGAATTAATTATCTTGATTAATTAATACGGGAAGACTTATCTTCCTTTTTGTTTTTTGTTTTTTCAAGTTTCAAGGCAGGGTTTCTCTGGATGTCCTGGAACTTGCCCTGTAGACCAGGCTGGCCTAGAATTCACAGAAATCCACCTGCCTCTGCTGGGTTTGAAGGCATGTGCCACCACCGGTGGGAGGATTTATCTTAATTGTAGGTAAGATCATTTCCTGACTGGGCTGTATAAATGGAGAAAAACCCTGAGTATCAGAATGTATGCATTTTTCCCCTCTCTGTCTGTGGATACAAGATTAGTTGCTACAATGCCTCACTGCCTTGGTTCTCCTGCAAGATGTACTGCACCATGAACTGTGAGCTAAAATAAAGCCTTTCCTATTGACTTTTTAATTTCTTGTCAGAGTATTTCATCACAGTGATAGGAAAGGAAAATAAGGCAAATGCTGGAACTTTTGATTTATCATCTATCTATCTATCTATCTATCTATCTATCTATCTATCTATCTGTCTAGACAAGATCTAGCCCTGGACCGGGCTAACCTCAGAGTTTCTCTGCCTTCTAGCCTTTTTCTTGTAAATTCCTTTGTCGCCATGCACAGGTCGAGTGTCACTGCCTTTTCTACTGACATATTTGCACATGAACTGATATAACAGCTGTGTTTTGCTTCAAAAATATGGGAGTGAGAAAATGAGTAAAGGAATAGACCAAAGATATTGCCCAAAACTTAAAATTAATTGAAGCTGGATGCTTAGAAAAACATGTTTTTTTCCTTAGCCAGGCATGGTAGTGCAAGCCTTTAACCCCAGCACTTTGGAGGCAGAGGCAGGCAGATCTCTGTGAGTTCAATGCCAGCCTGGTCTACAAATTGAGTTCCAGGACAGCCAGGACTGTTGCACAGAGAAACCCTATCTTGAAAAACAAAAGGCAAACAAACGAACAAAAATGTTTGCCTATCCATCTATTTTTTGTACCTGTGTGTAGCCTTGGCAGTAAGATGATAGCTTTCAGGGGTCAGTTCTCTCTTTCTACCATACATGTCCCAGGGCCACACATGAGAAGGTCAGGCTTGGCAGTAAGTGCTTTTACTTATTGAGTGGTATCATTGGCCTGTTCATATTGTCTTACTATATTATTCTTTTGTATCCTTGCAATTTTCTAAAATAAAACATTGAGAGAGAGCCTCTAATACCATTCCACCATTATGGGGGCCCCACCTTTATGATCTCATCTAATCCTAACGGCCTCCTAAAGAATCCTACTTCTTAATTCCAGTAACACGAAAATTTAGAGATTGAGTTTCTAGTTTGTGGGGCTCCTACTCAAATCATTGCAGAAGGCACAGCTCTTTCTTCATCCCAAGAGAAAAGCAAGATACATGTCTCTTCTGTACCAGGCCCTATTCTTGGAAACTGAAAAGCCAATGCAAAGCCAGTGTGGTAGGTACCTGTGGGCCCAGCTGAGTCAGGATGCTCCCTTAAGCTGGGGGTGGAAGCAGGGTTTGAGGCCAGCATGAACAACACAGGAAGAACTGGTCTCCAAGAGGAGACTGGAGGAGGGGAGAGAAAGGCAGGGGGGGGGAAGAGAGATGTGGGTAAATCTTGGCTATGGGTTCTCTGAAAAGACTCCCCGAGAGTAGGGGTGCCTGAGATGGCTCTTTGGGTGAAGATGTCTGAGGTCCATTCCTGGAACTTACCATGGAAAGAGTGGGGCTCGCTCCTGTCCTTTGACTTACACAAGCCCACAGCATATGAGTATGTGAGAGAGTGCACGAGTGTGCACACACCACACACACACACACACACACACACACACACAGAGAGAGAGAGAGAGACAGAGAGAGAGAGAGAGAGAGAGAGAGAGAGAGAGAGAGAGAGAGAGAGAGAGAGAGAGAAAGAAATATATAGGTCTTTTTAAGCTGGAAAAAAATAAGTCTCTCTGCCACCCAGAGCCAAGGCCCAAATAATCTCTTTCCTGTGTACCCCCTTTTCTCCTGGCACGGGATTTTCTTCCAGGTCTCTCTTTCTTGAAGGTGTGGCCCTTGGCAGGGGTCTGGCTTTGAAAACAGGGTCTCTAATATTCCTGTTGGCTTTGAACTAGAGTCTGGATTGGACTCCAGGCTCAGGGTCCATCCTCTAGCATCTGGGGAGAGGATGCCTCAGCTGCAGCTCTTACCCAGCTTCACTCTCCTCACACATTGCCTCCTCCCATTTTTGTTTGTTTGTTTTTGTTTGTCTGGTCTTTGTGGCCCCTTTGCCAGCTCACCCAGGCAGTTCCAGGTCAGGAGCTGGGAGGAGGCAGTATTTATAAACTGGGAAGAATATTCCAGATAGATGAGTGTCTCCTGTGGCTGGACTGAAGCTCCTGGATAAAGGAGCTTGGAGAGTTCTCCTCCAACCAGCTGAGAGAGGAGACTGGGTTGGAGCAAAGAACATCTGACTGAACTTGAATCGGTGATCTTACCATGCATACATTCCCTCCCCCTCATAGACAGGGCCTCCTGTATCCCGGGCTGGCCTAGAACTCTGTGGAGCTGAGGATAACTCTGTCCTTGTCACTCTCCTGCTTCCACCACTAAGGTGCTAAGACTATGGGCATGCACCGCCACACTCAGTCTCCCCCCACCCTCAGGAAGATTACAGGATCTACAAAGAGGGGCCAGTGGGACGGCTCAGGGGGATAAGGCCTGACCACCAAGCCTGACTATCTGATTGCAAATTTCCAGGACCTTCAAGGTGGAAGGAGAAAACCAGCTCCCAAGAGCTATCTAGCCTCTGACCTCTACCCTTGCTCCATGGTGTTTGACCCCTCCTCTAAGACACAAACTAGAATAAGCTAGCCCAAAGGGCCTTCTCCCTTCAACTGTCCCTGTCCTTCTCTGCAAACTCAGATTCATAGCCTGTACACTCAGAGTGAGCCAGTTGCTAATCCTTCTCCCAGCCCTCTGCTCGATCCTACCTTGCTTTTCTGGTGCTGTTGGGGGGGGGCTCTACTGCTAACTCCGGCTCCAAAGTAACAAGCAAGCTTGGGTGGCTTTCCCTTGGGGGGCAGCTGCCTGGGAAGCCAGCCAAGTTGCCTTTTGGCCTTCCGAGGGGAAACCAGGGTACAAGTTGGGGCGAGGGGCTGAAGAGAGGGAGGGCTCCTCGGTCTTCAAGTGTCTGCCGCTAGACTTGCCCACCTCTGCTACCAAATGTCTTCTCATTAAAAATACAACTTGGGGACGGAGGATGGAGTTCCCATCGTAGAGTGCTTGGCTAGCACTCGTGACGCCTCGGGTTCCCATCCCAAGTGAGTATGGATGTAAACATCTGTAATCTCAGCACTGTAGAGCATGGAGGCAGGAGGGGCAGACATGCGGGGTCATCCTCGGATACACAGTGAATTCGAGACTAGCCTGAGAAACAAAACAACAACAAAATCAAGTTGGATAGCTAGGCGGGGCAGTGTATATAGCTGTAGTCTATTCTGAGGAAGCTAAGGCAGGTAGATCACTGAGACTAGAATTTGAGTCCAGCCTTGGCAACAAAATAAACAAGCAGATACATACATGATTTGAATGATTCCTTTAAGTATAATAATCTTGGGGACTGGAGAGATGGCTCAGTTGTTAAGAGCACTTGCTGCTATTTCAGAGGACTGGGGATCAGTTCCCAGCACTCACAGGGAGGTTTTTAATCACCTGTAACTCCAGGGGACCCAATGCCCTCTTCTGGTCTCTACATGCACATGATACACAGACACATCTACACTCATAGAATAATGAACTAAGGACAATAATTACGGGGCCGGAGAGAGGTTCAGTGGTTAAGAGCACTGACTGCTCTTGCAAAGGACCCTGACTTGGTTTCCAGCACCCTTAGGACACCAGCACCTCCAGTTCCAGGGGATCCGTATCTTTTCTGACTTCCAAGTTTCCTGTTTACATGTGGTACACATATATACACCCATGAAATAAATATTCTTACGAATATATATATATATACATACATAG